ATTCCTTCTATATGACAGCTTACCATTTGTGGTTGAAAAGAGGTTTGCATAGACTGTTTTAACTAATTTGTCCAAAAAATTCAGCTTCATCCTATGGAACATTAAGATCACGCACAAAAAGGATCACAATTTATCTCTAATTTGTTCATCACATTAAAGTAGAATTGAACAAAATCAGTAAGCAAAACACAAAATTAAGCACAACTTATTTGACATAACATCATTTCATCTCATAATCCAACAATTTTTTTTTTAAAGAGTAAATTCAGTCTGCATTTTCTAGAATTTACCTATCAACAAAAATCACAAAAAAAAGCAAAAAATCCCAAAAATCTAACTTAGAAACAAATACGAGAATCAATTAAAATTCAAAGTTACCAGTCATTGTTGTATTCCATTTTCTCTGAGTTTTTCCCTTAATTTAACTAAACGAGAGGAAGAAAAAAAGAAAATGACAGTAGTGTATGATCAATAATCAAAAATATCTATTACGATGGATTTATATATGTAAGTATACATTCTAAATGAAAAATAAAAAGACAAGTGGACACAACTACCCTATAATTATGCAAATAGAACAAAAGTTAACCAAATAGAACACAAGTTACATCTTGAAGCAATTGTTTCTCAACACTAATATGCTTCCATCCTATCTTTTGATAGGAAAAGATTTCTTTGATAAATGACCAAAATTGAAGAACATAAATACTAAGAAAGAGCAAAGAGGATCCAGTCTGTAGTATTTTAATAAATGCATTTATAAGTAAACATAATATATCACTTAAAACATTTTCACACACAATGTTGTACACATTGTTTAATTATTTCAGCAACTTAGGTTCAAATTTAATCAAAAGTCTAGATAGTTTTTCTGATTTACGGTTTTGATGAGGAATTTTTGTGTGCTCCAGATAATCTAAGTATATTAAAGCCATGCATATTGGCACTACGCAAGAAAAAAATAACACCTACAATTTACATAAAGAAAAAGAAAAAAAATTAAATCATCAAGCTATTGCTGTTATAAAATCAAGTAACTTATCAAAAAATTCAAGTGTTGAATAAAAAATTACTTTCCGCAGTCAAAACCACCGTCGAAGATGCCTTGCAGCATATTGCATAGAGCCAAATAACAAAGATAGAATGCAAACTTACCAGGTGAAACGGATTCAATTGCCTCATTTGCCAGATTACAACCAAACATTCCACTTGTCCTCGTGAACAAAAGAATTTGGTTGGTTATATCTCGTCTTAGTTCGAGTGTTGGAAGAAGTTTCTCCAGAACCTGTAAAAATCTTCTTTAATGGAGCCAAGAAATTTTATCTCTGGATTATACTGGATGCTAGGGTTCAGAAAAGCTGCTGCTGAATGAAGAGGTGAATGGAGGTTGTTCTACCACTTCTTATCTACAATGTCCAATAATGTCTTGCATTTGATCTCATCCATAATGTAGTATGTCCTTATAGACTCCTTCGCTCTGGTCATCAGTTCGTAAATGAACCCATTGTCAGCTTCCCACCAGCCACTTCTCTCATTACCTTCAAGAATGGCTCAGAAACAGCAACACTCTCTTCTAATGCTCTCCAAAATTCATTATCATCAATAATCCCAACACAAGTTACAGTTTGAGGTTTCTTTCCACAAGCCAAATCTGCAGATAATTCTGGGTTATTGAACATATGTTTCAACCTTGATTTCTGCTTCAGCATAGATTGCAAAGAGAGAAAATTGGAAACAGACTTTGTAATTCCATTCCTAATGATCTCCTGTCCTCTCGTGAACTTTTTCATCAGCTCCAGCATTGATGAATTATTGTATATGTACATGGTGCCTCCGTCCAAGTAATGGAGGCATCTCATGCCTCCATAGTCTCTTGGTGAAATTCAGTATCACCCCATGAAAAATCAAACTGTGCCACTGTTAATTAAAAATGCATATCACAATAAGTCAGTAGAGTAAAAATTCAATTCTTATATTACCTTAAATTTAGCCATTAAGCTCGTGTTAAATTAATACTAAGCTTTAGATGGAAAGAAAATGGAAATGATTATATTTGCACTCTTAATGCATAATAAAAGAAGCTTTCAGTCCTGAACTGTTAAACTAATGCTCGTATCCTGGTCTTTTTAGTAAATTTTACAATTACGGATGCTTCTCTTTTCAATCTCATTAAAAAAAAATGTGGGAAGAAAGATCG